GAAATCATCGCTAGAAGTTTAAAGAAATTGAATGTTTTGGCTTTGGAATTAGATCAGAAAGGATCTACAGTGATCTTCAGCCTGGGATTTTCTTGACATAAGGAAACCCTATAAAAACCTCTCTTTATCACATTTATACTCAAAAAACAAATTACTAGTAAACATATAAAAAACTATCTTCATATAAGCACAACCTCTTTATAAACACATTTTTTAAAAAAGTTATTAAGTATACAAAATGTGTGATTATAGAGGGGGTTGACTGTAGAATAAATACATATCTCACACCCTGCGATATGATTATATATCACACTTAAATATAATTGGCTAATTTTGCAGATCATTATTTTTTAAAAAAAAACAAATTTTTTTTAGATTAAAGAAAACTTATAGAAAAATCAAGAAAAACATTAACTTTTTTTGTATTTATATGCAATAGATTTTATTATATTAATATTTGTTTTGCTTTTAATTAAACTTATTCAGCATTAAAATTTGCATATAACTGCAAAAAAATTTTAACTGTTTTCTTAATTTTTATAAGTTAGTTTTAATCTAAAGAAAATTAATAAAAATTTGTTTATTTTTTTAAAAATAATGATCTGCAAAATTAGCCAATCATATTAAGGTGCGATATATAACCATAACGCAGGGGTGCGAAGCATATTAAACTTCTTTTATATATAATATTAATTTTTTTTAAATTTAATTTTTTTTAAATTTAATTTTTTTTAAATTTAATTTTTTTTAAATTTAATTTTAACTATATTTGCTACAATATAATATTTTCTGTAATACTATTTTTAATATTAGTATTAATTATTATTCTATTTGTATATTAATTTTTATAATATACTGTATATGCCAATAATCTGATTTTATCTATTAAAATACTGTATAATCTAATTCAAGCTATTTTAAACTTTATTTTTAGCTAAGAAATAAAAGTATATTTGTGGTTTTTAACTTATACAAAATATATAAATACTCAATTATTTATTGCGGTTTGCACAATTTTTTGCACTTTGAAAATCAAAAAAAAAAGAAATTGTTAATTTTTGAGGCCTTTTTTTTTATGAACTGTTATACGAAAGTTTGCTTCTAAGTGACGTTGAAAAGTAACAAAAAAGAACTTGACACAACTAAGAAAAGAGTTTCTTTAGCATCTAGACGAGATAAAAGACGAATAAAAATCAATAAAACAGCAATGCTAAGTTATAGAAAGAAGCATTTTTCCCGTTTGTTAAATACTCGGGTATTTTATGATGGGTTGGTAAATGTAAAGAGTGAAATCAGAAGCAGTTTTCCGAAAAGACGGCCTTTTTAACTTACTTTTGGCTTATAATCCTCGATTATGATTTCTGATTTCTTAGAACTACCTTGATATATGAAATCATCTAACAATCGAGAGATTTCTTTGCTTTTTTGATGGGTCTGCAAGGGGATACAAAATTATGCAAACCGCAATACTGCAATTCAAAGTGAACATGTTATAATAAAGCCAAAGAATCGTTGAGTAATTTAAGCGAAGCTATTTATTTATCATTATTACATTTTATTGTGCACACTTCAAAACCTGACGTGTAATATACATCTCAGATACAGATTTCTATTTTAAATCTAATATGACACATGAAAAATTTGAAATTAAAAAATATAAGTGTATGCCAACTATTTTATTAATTAAATAAAAATGAATTTTACCTTAATTTTACATATGACAAACGTTATTTAAGAATCATCTTTAATTTTGGTAGATTCAGTATCATTATTTGTAGTTTTTTCATCATTTTCCTTATTATCTGTTATTCCAGATAGTAAACTACGAATTCTAGTAAGAATTTCTTCTTCATCTTTACCATCATCCAACCTTCTTGGAGTAGCAGAATCAAAAAAGTGCCTAAATGGTTTTCGTGAACCTACACCATCATAACTATATAATCCATCATTTGTACTATAAACTGGAGCTTTAGAAATTCTGACTGATGGTTTTCCATATTCATTAAATTCAGCTTTTTCAACATAAAAAGATTCAATTTTTTCACGATTAATTCTATTTACTAAAGTAGCTTTTTGAGATACTAAATTTGCAACCATTCCACTAATTCCTACAGCAAATCCACCTGGTATATCACGATTTAAAATTCTACCTTGAACTTTGATATTAGTTCCAGGATTATTATGCGAATAAGTTAATCCTTGAATATTAGGTTGTCGTCTTTCATAAGTGATATTTAAAAATTCATCAAAAGTTGGATGTTTTTTAGTAGCCGTTTCTACAGAAGTTAAACTAGATTCTTTATCTCCTACTTTTGTAGAAGCAGTTAAATCAAATTCTTTAATTAATTTTCTCCATTCATGTTTTCTTGGTTCAACTTTTTCTTTTAAGAAACGTTTAAATTCTTTATCACTCATTTTACCAATATTAATTAAACTAGGTTCATTTTTTCTAGGTTTGACAATTTTTGATAAAGGAAAGTTTTCTTTCCAACATTTTGTGAATTTTACCATTGTTTGAGCACTTTTATATGGAGTTTGATGTTCTATAGTATCAAGTGCGTTAACCGTTATAAAATTAGTACGTAAGAATGGTGGAAGATTACGTTTTAGACCCCATTCGCCACGAATTTTGTAACGTCCGTATGATGTGTAAACTTGTGGTAATGAAGGATCAAACGTGGCCAAACGTGATCTATGTAATAATTCTGCGAAAGACATTTGTTTTTTCAAGAGTCAATAGAAATGAAATGCTATTGATAATCAGATCAAAATTTGAGGTAGCACGTGCAATACATCTGATATGTACTAATACAAATGCGTACTGTAATATGGAAAATTTTGAATTAAATGATAACGAAGAACTTATTATTGCACGTACAGTAGCAAGTGTAAGCCTCATGTAAGACTGGTTGAACATGAAAAATTGGGTAAAATGAACTACGGTATTTGGAAGATAATTACTTATACGTTAACTTCCAACAATTTCAAATTTCAAAATTTCACATCAATAATCTCGTATGAACTCGATATTGGCGTTATCCTATAAAGAAAATTTTTGTATTAAAATCTTTTCTTTAAAATACCTTATAAGCTTACTGGTATTTTTATAAATACAGGTTGTTAAGTATATAGTTAAAATTAGGAGTATAGTCAATGTTAGGAGTATAGTTACTATTTAAATAGCCAACTTTCGAAAAAAAAAAAAAAATTACATTAAATTCTTGCAAAATAATTAAAAACTAATAGTGTTGACAGAACTATCGTATAGCATTTATATAAATTTTAATAAAGAAATCAATTCATTTAAAAAAAAATGTATTTATCACTTTTGTGAGCCGAAACCATCGTTTTCAAAGCAGAATTAAAAGTTTACATTTTGTTTTAAAAAAAAAAAAAAAAAAAAAAAAGAATATACATATATGATTAAAGGATAGCTTCAACTCAATAACAACCTTTATTTTTACAAGCACATTATTTTTATACTGGTTTCCTTTTTTAACGTTCGAATTTCTTTTTTCCTTTACCCTAGCCTAATTTAATGCAAGAAAGTCCTATTACGGTAACTAATTCAATTCAATTTTATTTGAAAATTCGAATAAATCCCTTGACGAGTCACTCCTCTTTAAAATTGTAGGGTACGGATATTCTTCTTCATCGTCTATCCTAAAACCTAAAGATTCCATTTGTTCAGATAAATCATCAACACCGTTAGAATTACTACCCTTAATTCTAGGAGAACCGGGTGCAGAAAATGGTCTAGGAATCTTAATTTTGTACTGTTGAAAATCACCGAGATCATTACCCATAAAACGTTCAGGATAAGCTCGATGTAATGCCAATTTTCTTGCTCTAACATATTCCATTCCCATTAATTTCCAATCCAATAAATCAGATAATCTTTCAGTTCGATTACGTTGATTGATTCTTTGACGTCTTGATTTTTGACAGAATTGTAGCATGCAATCAACGAGTTGCTGAATGGATTCTTCAACACCTTTCATTCTACGGTCTATTATGTATATACCATAGTCTGATGAATTTTCAACAACTTCTTCAATGAAACAACCGAATCCAGAAAGATTGGTTGTTATTGAAGGTACACCCATTACAGTACATTCAGCAGGGGTGTATCCCCAAGGTTCATAATAACTGGGAAAAACACCAAGATGACATCCACGAACAAAGTCCTCATAATCCAAACCAAATAGGGGATTGTTGGCGTTCAAGAATTCAGGATGGAAAACTACTTTCACACGATCAGTCGGATGATTAAAGAGTTGAAGGCGACGCAATTGCGACAAAATTGGATCAACACTATCATCGCACATATTATGCGTAACTATTGCTGGTAGTGTGCTACGTTTGAGAGCAATTACACGACGTTTTAAAAGCACCTTTTCCTCATTAGTGAGGAGTTCTTGAGGATCAATGACAGCTTGACCTATATCACCACTAAAATCATGTTAAATCATATTAAACAAACATTAGAATAATAATAATAATAATAATAGATAATAATCGAATTATAAATATAATTATTTACCCAGTGTATCGAGCAGCCTTATCAAATATTCTTTGACCAATTCGATCAGTGATTTCTTTTACGGTCTCTTGAAGTTGTTTTGTTACAGCATGCCCTTTTAGAGATTCAACAGCATATGATTGTGTAGCAGCAGGCATGACGATAAAGGCAACGACAGTCACAGGCGAGTTACAAGCTTTTAGGCGAGTATTAAGACCTATAATTAAACAATCAAGAATTTTTAAATTATAAATTAAAAGTTATATTATTAACAATAAAAAATAAATCATAAAAATAACATATATAAGATTCTTACGGCCTAAAGATTCTAAGAACATATCAACACCTTTATTCCTGAATTCGTAACGACCGGCGGTGAAAAAATACAAAGTATTTTCAATATCGAAATCATAATGACCATAAAAATGACCACGAACAAAGTTATGAATTTTTTCTTTGTTCCTCGCGTGTAAATTTTGGAATTCATGCACGGCAGAAAATTTGACCACGTTCAAACCATTAGGAAGGACACCATCTGATGAGACAAAATGAGTATAAATAATAATAATAATAATATAAATAAATACGTTGCAAAAAAAATAATATTTTACCCGGTTTCCTTTTTAATAAATGTTCAGCTTCATAAGCGGTAATCTGACTCACAGTGGTAAACACATCACAACAATGTGCAGCAGCACGTTCTATACAATAACGATGATATATGCCACGTTTTCCAGTCTCCTCATCCACAGAAAATTTAGAAATATTATTGTAAAAATCGGTGGAACCAGCGCATAAATAACGACCCAATAATGTAGCATGCGTGGTAAAGATGGTAGTCAAATCAGTACGTCGTTTACGCATAAGAGGGATAGCGCATGCGGACATCCATTCGTGAAAATGAGCTATCACAGCTCTAGATTTTTCTCTTGCAACAAACTATAAAAAAAAAGTTTACGCGTTACATCGAACACGTATTACTTTATTCTAGATGTTACACGGTGGCACAATGCCAAACATATCGAAAAGGGAAAACTTACATCACCCAAGAACCATGCAACGAGATAGCCAAAAAGAACAGCATCGTTTGTCTCTTGATCATTTGGAGGAGAGGGAATACCGGCAACATTCCATAAATCAGCTTTCCATGCATCAAGCCTCTCAATGATAGAAGTAGTATCAAGGAGAATGACACGAGGAGCGCCTTCAATTAACCATCTACCGTACATCCATTTAATACCTTGACGATCCATATCATCGAGAATTTCTTTAATATACGAGTTAGTTATAGGCTCTGATTCCACTTCAGCAGCAGCAGTTCTATGATTTAAAGGACCGATTAAAGTGTAGTTATCACCATATTCATGAACAGTCACAGGAGCTTTTGATTTTATAACAGTATATATTCCACCAACTATGTTTACAAGAATAGGATTGTAATTCACATTAAATTGTTATAAAATCATATACAAATAATAATTTATTACCTTTGTTTGCAACTTCCCAAGCTATTTCAAAGAGAAGGGGGTTATGAACGTCGCGAGACATATTTCCTGATTGTTTTTAGGATAGTTCTTTTTAATTTTACCAAATTCTCGAATTATTCAAATTATTCAAATTATTATTTCACAAATTAAGAAAATTTAATATATCAACATCATAAAAAAAATTTTTTTATGATAAACTTGTTTCTTTTATTTCTTTTATCCTGAGCCGAAAAAGCCAAAAAATGGCAACTAGCCCAAAGAGCGATGGTAAAATAAAAAGGTACCTACGTACGTAATTATAAATAAAAAGATAATGGCTTTTATATTTAAAGTTGAGTAGTGGATTTTTTTTTTTTTTGTTTAAATAAACTACACAACGCAAATAATGCAAAGTTTATCGATCAGAAATCCGTTTATGGCCTTTTAATTTTTTTTATTAATAATTAAAAATCAAAAATCTATTTAAATAAAATAGGTAAAATATAATATTTTGGTAAGAAAAAAAAAATTCAATTTTTAAAAAAACATACATTAATTTAAAATATATTAGATACTAATTATACCTTTCATTCAACAACACATGTAAGCACACCGCCTGTCAGTAAAGCGTTGCTGGTTAAGGAAATTTGGCAAAAGGTAGATATTTGAGATAGTAACGTCTGAATATCTGATAATATGAGATATAAAGATTATGCCTTAATTTTCTGTGGGAATCGGCTATTTTTCATGGCATAATAAATGGTGTAATCTCCCTTTTAAATATGTAATTTTATTATTTATATAAATATTACGTTTATAGGCGCACTTTGTATCACTTTAAGTGATTCTGTGATATTAGAAAGTATGGCCTAAACGTAGATATGCACGTATGAAACTACAGCATGTACCTGGTTACGTATGTACATACAAAGTACGTCGACGTGCGTGTCGAATCCGTCATTCATGTCATTATATTTTGATATTTTGAATAAAAGGAATAAACGGGATTTCGTTATTTGTCACGTGATAGAATACATTCGCAAATATCACTATCAGCGAATTTGTTTTTACAGATAGGCAAAGTTGATCTTATTATGTTTAAATAGATCGCCAATTTCGGAAAAGGAAAAACGATATGTAGATGTGTGTTTTTCAATTGAAGCTTATCAAGCATTTAAAATACTCTCCCCAAAAAACGTCCGTACATGACAATGATTCCGTTTTTGCTATAAATGATATCATTTCAAGAATACCAAAAAAAATCACCGGATTTTCATCATACGATTTTAGCATCATATTATTCAACGTAGCGTAGGTATATATAGATATTTCTAACGTTGGTGCTAGATGCTTACCGTATTTGCGAAACAAAGCACAATGTCTTCGAATTCTTATCGCCAAGACATGGTATCAAATCGATTTTTTTTTTTGTCGTGTAATTCGTCAAGCGATATAAACCTGGCCATAAGTCATGAACGGGAATTTTCGGAAACGGAAAATCATACACCAGATAGATAAATAAGGATTACGAATAAGTGTATTTACAGATTTATCGGTTTATAAGTTCAACTTTTTATAACTCACTATAAAACATTGTTGCCGAAACAAATTTTACTCCCCTACTTTGTACTTCTATAACGCTATATTTTTCCAAGTCAAAGGAACTTTATTTTTTCTTTGGAATTACCATGAAAGCTCGCCATGTGACCCTGTGGGGGATGTACCAGTGATGTACCTTGATGTACCCAGCACCAGAAGTATACCCGGGTACGCACCCAAGTCATGGTATTACGAATCAGCGTTGGCCGATGACCTAAACATATTTGTCATAAAGTTATCGTTACGATCAAATGACTTGTCATTAAAGTCATATAATTATTCGAAGCCATCTATTACGAATTAGGAAAATACCCGGATTAATGGTATATATCTTATTTTTTATGTACTATTTCTCTCGTAATTTTAGAGGTTGGAACCAGATTGCAAATGTCTATCCGGATATTTTAAAAAAATAAATCGATTATCGTTATATAGGATTTAATCCGTTCTGTATTTGAAAAATTAATATTGATATTTGGATGTCACTTTCGGAATTTCAACTTGAATAAAAAAAAGATTTTATTGTATGTATATTGTGTATATATATCATCTGGAAAAAAATAATCCGGTTTAAACCGATTTAATTCACAAAATCAATGAAAAAATCTAAGCAAACACAGTGTATATACACGGGTATTAATTTATTATTATAACTTTGTGTACCATACGAATTATTTAAACAAAAATTAACCCTACTTAAGGTTAGGGTTAGCTTTAGAGTTGGTGATGTTTATAGTAATATGCTAAAATTTCGCAAGGAATATTTTTTGTTAAAACCCCAAAAAGAAGTATTATAATCGGGATTTTGAGATATCAACATACCCGTGAATGTGCACATAGTGTACAAATGGGTCCTTCCACAACAAATCGGGGTTTAAAGACGATCTAACCGATATTGAGATTTTTATTTGATAGTATTCACAAGTGCGCGAATAATTCATAATAAAAATTTCAGCATAGGTTGATATACTATAATTTGGTACAGTT